AACACTGATTTGAAGAGTCAAAGCATAGAAAGTAAAAGTAATATGAAAAGTCAGAGCTTAGAAAATAGAAATGATGTAAGAAATAGAAGAAAGAGCTTAAAAGAGAAGAGCTTAGATACTGAAAGAGATGTGAAAATTGATAGTGTAGATACTGTCACAGATTTGAAAAATAAGATGGAGGGCATAAGAAAGATAAAAGATTTGAAAAATAAAAGCTTAGACGATAAAAGTGATGTGAAATTAGCTGGAAGTATTTCAAGCTGAAAGATGTATTTGAAGTAGGTCTTGTCTTAGGTTTTAATATAATAGTTTTAAGTTTTATACAATGTGATAAAATAATGTTTGGACAGGTAGTTTTTAACATGGAAGGAATTTGTGAACTTGTTTGAAACAAAACTTATTTGTTGTCATAGGAACTGAACGATTTTTTAATCTGACTGCATATTGATGAAAGAGGTCTATGCTTCTATTTTACTGGTTTTATTATCTGTGGATGGAGTATTTTAAAATATAAATATTAAGTCATAATATCATAATTATTATAAAAGGATGAATTTTTGTGATGAAACATCAAAACTGAAAAAAAAATTATCACAGGTACTGACAAATTTTATTGAATGAATTTTCAAGCTTCAAATGTTCTGCTTCAATTTTATAAATAGTTTTTGGGTGGTTTGGGGTGGGGGGATAAAAAAAAATTAATATAATACTTAATATGTTTGTAATAATTCCTGTAAAAATGATGAATAATGTTGATATAAGTGTTTTATAGAGAGTCTGAAAATTATTATGTATAATTCAGTAGTTACATAGATCTAAATGCCAGTAATTAATTCAATGTCTAAAGTTATACATGTGTTTCTTAATAAGGGTTACTGGTATATGATCATTTAACATGGAGGATGTATATACCTATCAGTCATGCTGCAGCATTTAATGTTACATATGATATACATGTATCTGATGCAAAGTGCGTAAAAAAGTTGGTATGAACGTAGGTTGGAATGAGTAATGAATTAAAGAAATAGATAATTTTTGCTCATGTATTTTGTAATTTAGTCAACTTGAAGCATAGATTTTGAGAGCCTGTTAGAAAATGATAAGATTATTATTTGAAAAAAAGTAAAAGTTTTGATTATGTGTGTAAAAGTTTGTAAGAACATAAGTTTGTATGAGTAATGAATTTAAGGGAAAAAATGTTGTTTGTTCATGCATTTTTGCTACATTTTTGCTATCTAATGAAGGGTCATTTGTGTGAAGGTCTGTGTTATGTGTTATGATTTGGAATTAGAAAAGTTCTTACAAGTATTTAAATAAAAATGTGTCATTCAAATGGATTACATTCTAATTTTGAAAATGTGTTTTATTGTTATAAAGATTGATTCTTTTCAAAACTAGAAGTGTGTTTTATATATTTCATTTACTGTTTTCTGACTATTTATTTGGCTTTGCTGTTCTTTGTTTTAGTTTATCAATTAATTTAAACTGCACAGGCACACTCTTTGATTAATGATTTTGAAATGTGAAAAAACATACTTTTTTTATCAAAAATGGAAAAAGCTATTTATAAGTGTTAGTCATTTTCATTGTTGATGTTTAATATTAAAAATTTGTTTTTATTATATTCTGGACTTTTGTTTGGTTTATTTTCCTTATGATAATGTATGACTGATATACAAATATGTTTTCTTTGTATATACATGTATATTTTTGTTTATTTTCCATGTGTGAATGTACAAAAAAATGATATTCCTAGTTCTGTGTTAGATTTAGTCTTCCTTTCAATTTTCATCTTAGGTTTTGTTTGGATCTTTCTTGTATCTATCTATGTTAATGACTATGCAAGAAAGAATTCTTGTGTTAAGATATGTATTATATGACACTGACTGTTTACATTATTTAAAATTACCATTTACTTATTTCTTTGTATTATGCTTGTTAACATGAAAGTGTATGATATTAGTTATACCAATTGCTGACTGGATATACAGGAGAATATAGCCTGAATGAGATAAATATAACTAGAGACGCTAGTCGAGTGTTATGTTTATGTCAGCAAAGCCATATTCTCCTGTAGATCCTGTCAGCAACTTGTATAACAAATTTATAATAATGCAAATTGTTATTGACAACAAGTTCACAAAAAGACTCAGCACTTAAAGTAAGACTTTTCAAAGAATTCAACTATAAAGTCAACATAACAGTGTAAATATTAACTATTTCCTTAAGTAATGACATTTGAATGAAGAAATATGCCATGATGAACATAATGCAATAATAAAGTTTACTAAAACAAATAGTTAATTATCTACAATGTATAAATACATTATTATTTTTGCGCATTTTTGTTCTTCACTGTATACAGCATCCTATACAAAGTGTTTTGTGAGTTGCCAACCTAATCAGATATAGCTTTTGACCTGAAGGTCAAGTTTAAGTATTTTGTATAGTAATTTCAATAATTTGCGATGAGCAGTTCAATTTTTTAACATATGGCTGGTCCAGTACTCAAATTTAGCAAAAGTGAAAGGTTTGAAAATTTTGAAAAATTTTATTTCTGTTCACAGGTATTTTGACTGGTTAAGTGTTTATGTATTTTCTGTGAATATTCTGTGCCTTATATGATAATGGTTGAATTACTTATAGCTATACACTTGACAAAATATTTTTACTTGAAATATTTTTTTTTTAAAATTTTCATAAAAAGTACCTCAAGTCTGAAACCATGTTGCTTTAATTATCATTTTGAATGTATGTAAATTTAAATGTATAGTTATAATTGGGTATCAGTTATATAAATTATAAATTTGTATATATAATTTATATATTTGAATTTGAGTACGAGTCATAGATGTAAAAGTGTATTTGAATATGAATGTGATCTGGGACTTAAAATGACCCAGATGTTATCCACAATTACAGATTTATTGAGTTACTAAGCTCTTAAAATCAACATATTCATATTCTGCTTAAGCAGGTACTCTGAACATGGAGATGGTGGCTTTTCATTAATCACAACCATCTTTAACAAGTTACAAGGCTCAATCAAACCGAGTCTACAACATTTTCATTTAAGCAATGTATAGTAACTTAAAGTTTCTTTATTACTATGTGTATTTTATCACGAGTTGAGTGTGTGTATTGAATTTGTAAGTAGGTGCCAGTGTGTGAATGGAGAATTAATGTATAAAGTCTTGGCTGGCCCGGTGGTGTCTTTCAAAATTTGAGAGACCTCGGATAGCTGTACTGTTATAAAACTATACGATATGTAATTAAATTATTACATTGTTTTGAAAAATCATGATTGAAATAATAAAATTAATATAAGCCACATAATGCTTACTTTTTATTTGCTGTCTTAAAAAGAGCTTAGTTTGACGTTATAACAGCAAATATATTAAGGATAATTTAAAAAAGATCTTTGCTTTTATACGATCTTATCTGGAGAGTGGTGTATGGCCGAGTGGTTGTCTAATAAGCTGCGTTAGTTCAAAATAGTGCATGGCTGAGTGGTTAAAGTCCGTCAGGGGCAAGCTGTTGTTTCCTTAAGCAAGAAACTTATAACACTCCTTGCTCAGTACTGCTTGGTTCCAGGAACAGAATCGGGAGTGTGGCTGTCTTAAATTTCTTTTTATGCCCCCGCCATGTAATTTCCGTTCATTATCTTAAGAACGGTTGCACACATTCAACTCAAATTTGACATATGGATATGTCATGAGAAAATACAGGTCAAGTTCGAATTTGGTCATGGTTCGATGATTTTTGGCAGAGTTATGCCCCTTTTACTTTGAAAATAATATGAAATTTCAGTTTCCGTTCATTATCTCCCCAACGGTACAACACATTCAACTCAAACTTGACATATGGATATGTCATGAGAAAATACAGGTCAAGTTCGGATTTGGTCATGGTTCGATGATTTTTGGCAGAGTTATGCCCCTTTTACTTTGAAAATAATATGAAATTTTCAGTTTCCATTCATTATCTCCCCAACGGTACAACACATTCAACTCAAACTTGACATATGGATATGTCATGAGAAAATACAGGTCAAGTTCGAATTTGGTCTTGGTTCGATGATTTTTGGCAGAGTTATGCCCCTTTTACTTTGAAAGTAATATGAAATTTTCAGTTTCCGTTCATTATCTCCCCAACGGTACAACACATTCGACTCAAACTTGACATATGGATATGTCATGAGAAAATACAGGTCAAGTTTGAATTTGGTCATGGTTCGATGATTTTTGGCACAGTTATGCCCCTTTTACTTTGAAAATAATATGAAATTTTCAGTTTTTAACCAGGTTTTCCGAAGGAAAAAACTGGTTATTAGATTGAGGTATGTCGGCGGGCGGACGGGCGGGCGGGCGTAAACAATTTCTTCTGTGCGCAACTCCTCCTACATTTCTCAACGGATTTTGACCAAACTTTCACAATAGCTTTGTCATCAAGTGCCCTGGCGCATATTGTCGGGGTTTTGCGATTAGATAATATTTGACCTAATTATGGCCCTTTGTTTTTTTTCCTTATATAAAATATATAGTGAACAATTTCTTTTGTGCGCAACTCCTCCTACATTTCTCAACAGATTTTGACCAAACTTTCACAGAAGCTTTGTCATCAAGTGCCCTGACACATATTGCCAGGGTTTTGCAATTGGTATATATTTGACCTAATTATGGCCCTTTGTTTTTTTTCCTTATTCAGAATATATAGTGAACAATTTCTTTTGTGCGCAACTCCTCCTACATTTCTCAACAGATTTTGACCAAACTTTCACAGAAGCTTTGTTATCAAGTGCCCTGACACATATTGCCAGGGTTTTGCAATTGGTATATATTTGACCTAATTATGGCCCTTTGTTTTTTTTCCTTATAAAGAATATATAGTGAACAATTTCTTCTGTGCGCAACTCCTCCTACATTTCTCAACGGATTTTGACCAAACTTTCACAGAAGCTTTGTCATCAAGTGCCCTGGCGCATATTGTCGGGGTTTTGCGATTAGATAATATTTGACCTAATTATGGCCCTTTGTTTTTTTTCCTTATATATAAAATATATAGTGAACAATTTCTTTTGTGCGCAACTCCTCCTACATTTCTCAACAGATTTTGACCAAACTTTCACAGAAGCTTTGTCATCAAGTGCCCTGACACATATTGCCAGGGTTTTGCAATTGGTATATATTTGACCTAATTATGGCCCTTTGTTTTTTTTCCTTATACAGAATATATAGTGAACTATTTCTTCTGTGCGCAACTCCTCCTACATTTCTCAACGGATTTTGACCAAACTTTCTCAGAAGCTTTGTCATCAAGTGCCCTGACACATATTGCCAGGGTTTTGCAATTGGTATATATTTGACCTAATTATGGCCCTTTGTTTTTTTTCCTTATATAGAATATATAGTGAACAATTTCTTCTGTGCGCAACTCCTCCTACATTTCTCAACGGATTTTGACCAAACTTTCTTAGAAGCTTTGTTATCAAGTGCCTGGCACTTATTGTTGGGGTTTTGTGATTGGATAATATTTGACCGAATTATGGCCCTTTGTATATTTTTTCCTTATACAGAATATATAGTGAACAATTTCTTCTGTGCGCAACTCCTCCTACATTTCTCAACGGATTTTGACCAAACTTTCTTAGAAGCTTTGTTATCAAGTGCCTGGCACATATTGTCGGGGTTTTGTGGTTGGATAATATTTGACCGAATTATGGCCCTTTGTATATTTTTTCCTTATACAGAATATATAGTGAACAATTTCTACAGTGCGCAACTTCAAAAATTAAGCAAAAATAAAGTACTGTTTACCTTTCTAAAACATTTGGGGGAAAAAGGCGAATAGACAAAATAAAATTTCTCAATCATTTTTGTTTGAGGAATATTAAAAAAGCCATAATTCCTCCTAAAAATTCAATTAAAAACAAATACCCCTTCATGACAAAGCTTCTGTGAAATATTTTGCTGAAAACCTGGTTGCATCGCATTGCGATGTTCCTTGTTGTTCATTATCTCCCCAAAGGTACAACACATTCAACTCAAACTTGACATATGGATGCGTCAAAGGAATGCGCAGGTCAAGTTCAAATTTGGTCATGGTTCAATGATTTTTGGCAGAGTTATGCCCCTTTTACTTTGAAAGTAACATTAAATTTTCAGGTTCCGTTTATTATCTCCCCAATGGTACAACACATTCAACTCAAATTTGACATATGGATATGTTTTTGGAATGCCCAGGTCAAGTTCGAATTTGGTCATGGTTCGATGATTTTTGGCAGAGTTATGCCCCTTTCACTTTGAAAATAATATGAAATTTTCAGTTTCTGTTTATTATCTCCCCAACAGTACAACACATTCAACTCAAATTTGACAGATGGATATGTTTTTGGAATGCCCAGGCCAAGTTTAAATTTGGTCATGGTTTAATTATTTTTGGCAGAGTAATGCCCCTTTCACTTTGAAAATAATATGAAATTTTCAGTTTCTGTTTATTATCTCCCCAACAGTACAACACATTCAACTCAAACTTGACATATGGATATGTCATGAGAAAATACAAGTCAAGTTCGAATTTGGTCATGGTTCAATGATTTTTGGCAGAGTAATGCCCCTTTCACTTTGAAAATAATATGAAATTTACAGTTTCTGTTCATTATCTACCCAACAGTGTTACATATTCAACTTAAATTTGACATATGGATATGTCAAAGGAATGGGCAGGTCAAGTTGGAATTTGGTCATGGTTTGATGATTTTTTGGCAGAGTTATGTCCCTTTCACTTTGAAGATAATATAGATACATCTTAGGAATAAGCAGTTTAAGTTTAAATTTGGGCGTGGTTCAATGATTTTAGACAAACTTATCTTTCCTGAATGTTGGAAAAGTTTTGAACTTTCAGTTTCAGCACTCATACTTTTAGCCATTATTTTGGCTACAAATATGCAATATGCTATTTTTAAAAGGTTAAGACTGAATAATTTCAGTGCCTTGAACATTGTATGAAAATGGTTTGTGTTAACATTGAAAAGTTTTAAGGGCTTTGAACTTAAAATGAAAAAAAAAAATGAATGCACCATCTGAAATTTTGGCTGCATGCGGGGGCATCCGTGGCATGATGACACATTTCTAGTTTCTTTATTGAATACTTATGAGTTTAATGATAAAACAGAAAAGAATTTCCTTCAACTAAATAGTCAGAAGTATAGTGACTGCTCGTGCCCAACCCTATCATAGAAAAAAAAAGATGGTGTGAAATTGATGAGGACCACTGAATGAATGTGTACACAATTCCTTGAAATTTAATTTTGCCCTTTTACTAGATTAAGGCTAGTATTAAAACTGGATTAGCAAATGTCAAGTGTGATCTACATATCAATCAGGGATTATCTCCCTTTATAATAATTAATGAATAACATAATAATGAAAAGTACTGAAAGAAGTTGGATCACAAAGTGACGGAGACCAGAGGAAGTGCATTGTCCAAGAAACATAATGCTTCTTTGCTTAATTATTGAATTATATCCCTTATAAAACATTTTGTTTATACATGTACACCCTTTATTTATTGACAGGTTGCTTTCATATTTGATTATGAACATAGCGTTGGTGGTCTTCTTAATTTAGGTTTAGCAAGGAGTCACTTGGTTACTGGTGCTAAAAAGATTCTTTTACTTTTTGCTCATACATCTGATGCCGATACTGTTTAGTTGGTAGTGGTCCTCTAACTTTATTTTGAAGAAAGGCGTCACTCTGGTTAAAGCTTCTGATGCTTTACTACGTCACGGAGCATCAGTCGCCGTTAGCGAAAATGACTTAGCGGAAATCAACTTTTAAATTGGTGACAATTTATAAAGTAAGAAAAGGCACAACAGGTCTTCTCCGTCAATAAAGTTTTGTTTGTTAGTTTGTTTCATTTTACGCCTTTTCCCAGCAGTATTTCAGTCGTATAGGCAGGTAGTTTCCTAACCATCGTTCCTGGAGAGTTACACCAGTACTAGACTACCTTCCTCCGCGCTAAACTACGAAAGCATCTCCCGGGGATCGAACCCACTCCAGAGAGGTAACTGGATTAGAAGTCATCGACTCTAAACCCTCGACCACGGAGGCTGCTCCGTCAATAAAGATATCACCTTAACCATATCACGGATTTATATTACATTTAAGCTTGTGACCATATGTACAATAATATTGCAAACAAATTTGTTGGATTGTTTATTACATGAAAACTAGTAAACACACCGTTTGGTGACACAGAATAATTAAGCACGTGGAGCCGAGAATAGCAGACGTACTATTGACATGAAGCACGAGACATAAATTGCATGTCAGGTTTCATTTATTTACTGTCTTGTGTATTTTAAGTACGATTTGTTTAATCTCGGTATGTAATCAGTTTTAGCGGCAACAAATGTCTTTAAACTTCTTAAAGTTAAAATTCTTCACAAAGTATAATACTTTTCTGAAATGTACGCTTTATACAAAATTTAATTCTTATGTCTATTTTATCTCGAAGACTTTAATGCTTCTGCTTCTTGCTTCTTGTTTAAAGAAGTTACTTTGAGTTATATATAGCCTTCCCTGTGACCTTTGAACTGCCAGAGCATGCGGGTATTCTATATTGTCAGTGACAACATCTCGCACGTGAGACCCGTCCAAGGTTAGCTCTATGACCTTATGGCTGGACCAGTCAGCGACAAACAGCCGGTTGTTGTGCAGTATAAGAGCACCTGGGGTAAATCGTTTATGGTATGTGCTGTTAGAAAATTGCCACAGTTTCTCCCCTGGAAATGTATATAAGATGTAAAAATTACCGATAATGAAACTTAGAAAAAATATGAATAACAAAAGCATGCTCAATGCGTGCTCTACATGATATGTTAGTTAGTCCATACACTTTTCAAGAAACACTTAATTATAAATGAGTCTAATGCTTAATGAAAACATGGTTAAAATTGGGGAAGTCAGTAAAGTCCTCGTGCAAAATTAAAACAGATGCAAAAAAAATCATACATGTAATTATAATATACATTGCATGGTCGCCAATACTTATCATGCTTTTGGTAAACTTACATGTTTGTGTTTGATTTTCAATATGAAAACTACTTAAAGGATGATACTGATAAAAAAACAAATATTGAAGAAATCGTTAACAATATACTGCTTAAAAACATCTACAAAACAACATACCTGACTCAGTGAAACAGCTGATCCGATCATGGCCGCTGACAAAAATAAATTTTGATTCCCTGTCGACATCCAAGTGTCTAGCCTCTCCGGCGTTTATTCCCGTCTCCAGGATAGCCGTTTGTCTTCCGTCGTCATCAAGAATATGGATATCACCAGCGAAACATAGGACAAAATACCGTCCGTCTTGATAAGAGACGGCGAAAAGTGACTCTTTACAAGGTATGTTGAATTCTCTTTGCCTTGATAGATGTATTGTATGAACCTTGACCTGCATGACCTTTCTATTGTGAAATAAGGTCACAGCGACAATATCTTCTGAAACCTGCGTCAGTCCACAAGGTGAAGGACACTCGAGCGAGTCGAGATACGTAAAATCTGGTCCAAATAACATTATCTTTAAATGATTTATGTCTGAAACTACGACTTGGCCGTTGTCAAGGGCAACAATACCTGCAAGGCGACAAAGGTCCGTTTCGTATGGATGCTTCTTTGTGTGGAATCTAGCAATATATTTGAAAAAGGAATTCGATTTCCGTTGTTCTGAAGATGGTATGAAAACTGGTCCACTTGCCAGTGAGTTTGACGGTTTGTAGCTCACAGTGCTCAATGTTGTACTAGATGTACTTTGTGATCCCGGGCTTGTCGTTCTTATAAAATCTTTTATTACTTCATCTGTTAAGAAAACAGGCTGTGACGTTTTTGAGCCATTTTCAGTTTCCACTTTGGCGTCATCTTGTACCGCTGTTATTTCTCGAATGAAATCAAATTCATGATATCTCACAGACGTTTGTTTTTTCTTCATAAGCTTGGAGTCTGGACCTTGTTCTTCGAACGGAACGTACGGCATTTCAACATCATTAAGGCAAGCATTTTCCCCTACAGTCCTACCATCTTCCCGAGCTGACTTTGACAGACGCGTGTGTATCTTCTGGCTTCTTTCTTCTCCATTCGCAGCGCTTTGAGTGCGTAATGAGGATTTGGGTTTCTGCTCGCAATTCAACAGTTGTGGTCTTGTCTCTTTTGCTGTCAATCGTTTGATTCCATTCTTCGTGATTCCATTCTTCGTCTTATAGTTACTATTAAATTTAATTGACATGTCTTTTATGCTATCGAGGAATGGCTTCAAGGCATGGCCATACTTTGTATCCATTTTAAGAACGAAGTCCAAATCATTTAGCATTGTTGTTTCAATTGAAGAGGATCTGTTTTCTTCAACCGATGTAAGAAATGTATCTTTTGCAATGGTCGTTTCGTTAGATGATATATTTGAACCTGTTCCGTTGATCTGTTGAACTTTCAGCTTGTGTACTTGATTACCTACTGGTGTGTGTAAAGTTAGGTTACCTAATGAATCGAGTTGTTCTGCTATGGCACACAATTGCTCTTTCAGTGTGAAGTCAACGGCTGATGCCATGTGGCACTTTCTTATTTCTAAAATGGTTTCCCTGGCTGCTATAGCTTGTTGCTTTCCTTCCTCAAGTGCTCTCTTGAGTTTGAATCCAACGACATTTTCTTTCAACACTGCTTCTGTTACTTCTAGTCTGAAATGAACAAATGTATACTTGGAGATAGTAAATATGATTAGTCTGACGTTCTAGCGAAAATAATTTTGAAACCTTTTTATGAACTTTTATAGCAGAAATATTTCCTTAAATCTTTACATTATGATAGAAGCTACACGAATGAACACTTACATGTACGACGCCCTGCAGTTTCCGCCATGTAACTTAAAAAACGACAACATCAAACAGTGACATGAAAAGAATTTGATTCGGTACAAATTAAGTTTTGATCAATGTTATAACAAAAAACTATCGTTAACTCAAAAAAATCGAAAGTGAATAATTCGATTGTAATAAAAATGTAAACATTATATTATAATACTACAAAACTATAGCAAATAAATTAGATATTATTATATTTTGGGTAGACATACCGTTTTTGTCGCTCTGAGAGTTTCTTTACAAACTTCTTCAACTTTTCTTCTTCAGCCGTTACAACCGCAACCAACTGTCTCTCCGAATTCTCTTCTAATTCTCTCAATTTCTCCTCAAGTCGAGCACGTGCCTCGTGAATTTCCCGCTTAACGTCTGCGCGTGACTCGCGCAGAGACACGATGTTACAGGCGATGTCATTAATGCACGCGCTACAAGACTGTTTCCAATGTTTGATTTCTCGCAGAATTTCGTACTTCATGGGTAAAGCATTAACGTGCCGTATTGTCGCGTTTGACATGTTTCCTTTTTTAACCTTTAAATGTTAGTCACACAATTTATTTTTGAAATATATCTTAAATTTTATAACTTTTATTTCATGTAAATGAAAAATCCAAATTGTCTTTAAATAAATTGTGTTTGATACATACAATGTATTTGAAAACGTATTGATTGTTTAAATATACAAGTACAATTGTTCTGTCATACTATCTTACCATTTGATCAAATTTGAAACAAATAATGTCATTTATTAAGAACAAAAGAAAGGAAAATCAAAGGTATTTTGAGATCAATATATACACGCACTTACTTACGTGCGTTAAAGTGACTTGTAGAATTCACGCATTATAATTTTTCAGACGATCTGTCTATAAATATGAAAATATGAGTGGTTAACGCGTCGGACTAGTAATCTCATGATCGCTAGCCGCATGGGTTCAAACCCCGTCAGGGGCAAGTCGTTGTTTCCTTGAGCAAGAAACTTTACACTCATTGCTCAGTACTGGTTGTGTGTCTATAAGCTTATAGCTTCCTACACAATCGAACTAAAATAAATTCTGTATAAACCAAATATGAAAATAAGATTAAAACATAGTAAATAAATTAATAGCAGCTATTTAAATGAAAAGGTTAATTAAAGATCCTGTATGTGTTACCAACTTAAGTGAAATTTTATAAATGCATATAATTATGCTTCTAAAACAATTTTCATCGAAGAATACGTAAAATATGTACTGCAAATATTTGTCCACATTAAATGTAATCATTAAAATATATGCATTCATGTCTTATTGAAAAATTTGACTTAGACTTTATAGAAAATAAATTTCTTATTACCTCCCTTTATTAACATGAACACGTAAATTCAGTAATATCTTTACAAATAATACTTTTTGGAACTTACAATATTGATAAATCTTCATTTGAGAGCATTATATTTATGATATAAAACCATAAAAAATTGAGTTACAGGATCTTTCAGTAAATACCCGATGCACGAGAAAACAAAATTATTAAACTGATTACAACGTCAATTGCAATTATTTAAAAATGCCCTTCAAATCAA